GTTATTTTATGGTCAGTCACAATTGTAACCGGTGGGATAATGTGTATACTGAATTAACATATTTCTGCAGTCTTAAAAATTGTTATATATCTTAGCCCAGCTATTTTAAACTGTTTGATCACAGTTGATTTTTGTCAGCCTTCGTCAAGCCGCGGTGACGCAATCGTCCTTGGAATGTGCACTTTGGAGGGTGCATCCTGAATTGGGACAGCTTACATCTTGACGCTGTGACACAATCACACTTCAAATGCGCACATCAGAGTCTGCACACTTCAGTTTGGGATAGCCTTCCTCGCGCCACTGTGACGCAATCGCACTTCAAATGCGCACTGCGGAGTCCGTGCACTTCACTTTGGAACACAGCTTATGAGTTGATCGAAGCTCCATTGGTGGCAATGGGTCTACGATGTACTTAGGCTTTTGGGAAACGCAGCCCTGAACGATTCTCCACGAATCGGAATGAATTGTCAGGGGAGTTTCTCGAGTCGACAGAATAGACTCTTCTGGACAAGTCTGGTTATCCACTTGATTCATTCACTTGACTCATTCACACTGACTCATTTAACTGAGAGCCGTCTTTTTCGGTCATGTAGAACCGAAGAAGTTGAGTTTTATTTAAAGGTATAATGTATTGTTAAGTAATTTTTATGTAGGCTACATTTCTAGCCTACTGATTTTTGGTTTTAGGTATCGCTTTTTATGTCTACATTTTGCAACCAAATTTCCTAATTATTTTACCACGGACATGAGTTTAATAATTCAATATGGAATGCTACAAATAAAATATAAAATTAACTGGAAATATTTTACAAGTTTGACTTCTTTATTAACACACATACGAAAACGGCGGTTTTATTAAATAGTTTTAAATAACTAACGCAAAAAAAAAAATGAATGCAAAAATCTGCTATGTTTTGAATTAGGCTATAGTCATATAGGTTCTAATTAAATGTGTTTGGATCGTATTTGCATGACGTAAAAGAAGAACTGAATCGATTTTTAAGTTCTTTGAAATAGGCAAAACGATACAGTCTAATTGAAACATTTTCTTTTATTAATCTATTTTAAGTTATTCCCTGTTTTTTTTTATTTTCTTTTTTGTGCTATTTTTGATGCTATAAAGTGACAACATTGTATAAATCCTCGTATATTTCTATGTACATATATTTTTTTAGATTCAATAAACACAAGTTCTATAAAACGAACTGTTCAAAAGAGTCCATTTGCAGAAATGAATCGGAGATCCCTTTTTTAATTATAATTACACAGTACATAAATCAAACAATTATGACAATACAATTATAAACAAATACAAAATAAAAGAAAGATAAAAAATAAATACAGACTTGCTGCCAGGATAAAAAAAACATAATACTATTACTAGGCTACATCTCAAGAAGACACAAAGGACGAATATAAACATACCGTTTTCAGTGCTTTCAAATTAACAGAACTTTGGATAGTTTCCATATACTTGTCTAAGTCCACTTTGAATAAAGAAAAGTGAGGTTTAAAGCAAGTAAAGTTTGTGAATGTGAAATTAAGCCAACAGCAATTACAAATTAATGATGTAATATTTCCCTATATTCTCTTTTAAATATTCAAATAATCCAAAGAAAGCATCTTTAAAACAAAAAGAAAACTCACTTACAAAATAAGATTGAATATGTATCGGAGATCCTATTACCAGTTCTAATACCGAACCAAATCTCGCGAGAACGGACGAGGGGATAAGTTAAGGAAACATGGCGATGTCTAATTTGTTAAAGGTAAGAGACACTTGAGCTCTTTGCCTCCAAATTCTCCATAAACAGTCAAAAATCCTTTTAGACGCCTATAACCTTCAAATGACTATGTTGTACCATTGTGATTTAGCGGCTTGCTCGGTCTCTTACGTGCATGTCCAGTGAGTTTATAAGAGAGTCTTGCAGCCTTGTGTTTAGCTAGCAGGCTGTGAGCTAGCTGAGATTAATAAAGCCAATAATCACAAAAATACAGGACTGCACGCAGACGAGTTGATGTTCGGTATTATGTTGTTTATAAATATATATCATAAAGGGACGTGTTCCTGATGACAGTTAGCACGCATGTTGCTAGCTTGGTCAATGATTTAATGACACTGAGTATAATGGCTGAGCTAATGATATAAAATGTGAATGTGTGGCGTTATTACTAAGAGTTTGTTGTTGTAGTAAGCCTAGAAAAGATGCACGTCATGTCACAAGTGTCAGATATTATAAGTACTCGAAATATGTGAAGAAATCATCCAGGGAGTAAGAATTAGAGAGTAGACACATTCCATTTGTATAGATGATGTTTGATTTTATACAGTTAAATACAGTGGCTTTGTCTTAAAACCTAGTAAGCTGCCTACCTAGACAACATTTTGGGCATCATAGATATGTTCAAAATCGCCAGTGATGTCCAAAATGGTAAATATCAGTTTGATTAAAATCTTTCTATCTTTTGAGACTTATTTTTCTTGTTGTATGCTAGCTAATTAATTTCTTGCCTTATTGTAAATGCTTTGTGAATCATATTCAATAAGGCTTCTGATTTTCTGGGCATGTTGAGACAGAGAGGTCTTCCATAATGTCTAGTTCATTGTTTTATGTGAATGCATTCACACTCTTTTTCTCTAACTGTCTATATCCTCTTCCATGTCCTTTTGCTTAGAACAAGGGTTCCCTCCAGTTTGAGGACAAGTGGGATCTTATGCGCCCCATTGTCCTTAAGTTGCTTCGCCAAGAGTCCGTAACTAAGCAGCAGTGGTTTGATCTTTTCTCGTAAGGCCCCAAGGAATTCAGATCTTTTTATGTTCTACACATGAACTGCAGTCTGAATGTTCAATCTGTCTTCCTATTCTCACAGAGATGTTCATGCAGTTTGTCTATGGGATGACAAAGGACCAGCAAAGATCCACCAGGCCCTCAAGGAGGACATCTTAGATTTTATAAAACAAGCTCAAGCGGTAAGAGAGGTTCAGGATTAAACAACCTGCTGATGTTCTTCAGCAGAATCATGCCTCATTCTCGATCATTGGTGTTTAGCGAGTGCTCAGTCACCAAGATGACACAGCGCTCCTCAAGGCTTACATCGTGGAGTGGAGGAAGTTCTTCACGCAGTGTGACATTCTGCCCAAGCCGTTCTGCCAGCTGGAGATCACCCTGATGGGCAAACAGGGCAGCAACAAGAAGTCCAATGTGGAGGACAGCATTGTTAGGAAGGTGAGCGGGATAAAAGCGGGATTTTTAGGTGGATTTCCCAGAATGGGATTCATTGGTTTGTTTTGCTTTTTATGTTCACACAGCTGATGCTGGACACTTGGAATGAATCTATATTCTCCAACATCAAGAATCGATTGCAGGATAGTGCGATGAAGTTGGTCCATGCTGAACGGCTGGGAGAGGCGTTCGACTCGCAGCTGGTCATCGGGGTCAGAGAGTCGTATGGTGAGGTTCACTCCAGGTTTTTCATCGGATTGATCTTTTTAATCATGAAAACTGAAAAGTCTCTTATAATCTCTTTCTCAGTGAACCTGTGCTCCAATCCTGATGATAAACTGCAGATCTACAGGGATAACTTTGAGAAAGCCTACCTAGACTCCACTGAGAGGTTCTACAGGACCCAGGCGCCGTCCTACCTGCAGCAGAATGGAGTACAAAACTACATGAAATATGTACGGCCTGCCAGACATCAGATTTTAGACTACATGATCTTCAGCCAATCAGATTCAATCAGATTGCATAGCCCAGAGGAGGGGTTTGACTCCTCCTCTAACACTCTGCATTTGTGTTTGCAGTCATATATTCTCATGTCTCTGTTTACAGGCAGACTCTAAATTAAGAGAAGAGGAAAAACGTGCACTACGATATTTAGAGACAAGACGTGAATGTAACTCTGTACAAGCAGTGAGTATATGATTGGCTTTTAAATAATAATGATGCATCATTTGACAAAGATTGAATTGAACAATTTTGCATCAAATTGGGCATCAGCCATTAAAATATTTTAGTATTTTTACATGTGAAAATATTAAAAGTATTATTATTTTTAAGTTGTTCAGTATTTAATATTTAATTTAAGTAAAATAAAATAATATAACCAGGTATATGTGAGACTGAAATTGTGGATTGTTTTTTTCCCCTCAGCTTATGGAATGTTGTGTGAATGCACTGGTAACGTCATTTAAAGAAACTATCTTGGTTGAATGTCCTGGCATGATCAAACGAAATGAGACTGACAGTGAGTATGAGACTATTTAGAAATGTTTTATTAGATATATTTAAAATGACAATTTTAGGTTTTATATACGCTGTTGTTCCAAATTTGGGGGTCGTTAGGACTTACACATAACAAGGCTGCATTTATTTGATTAAAAATACAGTAAAACACCAATATTGTGATATTATTACAGATTAAAGTAGCTGTCTTGTATTTGAATATAGTTTAAAAAGTAATTTATTCCTGTGATGACAAAGCTAATTTTTCAGCATCATTACTCCAGTCTTCAGTGTCACGTGATCCTTCAGAAATCATTCTAATATGGTGATTTGCTGCTCAAGAGTCATTTGAAAATGTGTGCTATTTAATATTTTTGTGGAAACTATGATACTTTTTTCTGGATTTCTTTGATGAATAGAAAGTTCACATAAACAGCATTTATTTAAAATAGAAATCTTGTGTAGCATTATAAATGTCTCTGTAATTTCATATACCATTGCTGAATAAATGCACAAATTTATTTTATTACATAAACTTAATGACCTCAAGCTTTTGAACAGAACTCTGTTTTTCATGAGTTCGGACTTTGCATGCTGTGTAGCTGTATAATATCTCTAAACATAAGCTTTTAGTTTTAAACCTCTGAACTCTTCTTCCACAGAGCTGCACCTCATGTTCTCTCTCATGGATAAAGTGCCCAATGGGATTGAACCCATGCTGAAAGACCTGGAGGAGCACATCATCAGTGCTGGACTGGCAGACATGGTGGCCACTGCCGAGACCATCACAACTGTGAGCAAAACATTTGCAGAATTATTATATTCTTTGTGAGCTTTATGAATTTTAGAGCATTAGCTGGCTTTTGTTTTTCACAGTATAAATTAGGGTTGGGCGATGTCTACCAAATTGGCATCGGATGATGTCTACAGTGAAATATTGTGATGGACGATGACATCAGGGGGCGGGGTTAGGGGGTGTGCCCGAAGCGTGAATCGGCCCAACCCTAGTATAAATAAAGGATAATTGGTTAATGTTGATAAGATGAATATTTAATTAATTGTCACAGTTTTACTTGATTTATTCCAAAGCCCTGTCAAGGTTTGAACCTTGACCTTTGTAGATCCTCAAATATTAGGCAACCACAGTGTCAAACAGGTGTTGACGTTTGTGTTTGTTTCTTCTCAGGACTCTGAGAAGTACGTGGAGCAGCTCCTGACTCTCTTCAATCGATTTAGTAAATTAGTGAAGGAAGCGTTCCAGGATGATCCTCGGTTCCTTACAGCCAGAGACAAAGTGAGCATGCCGCCCTATCCATATTCATTCTGGTCACAGTAAGTAGCCTGCATGACTAGATCACACCGCAGATGGTTACCAGAGATCTGTGATGACACAGGAATACAATGGAAGGTTATATAACAATAACTCCATTTAAAATGCTGTTTATTTTACTGAAAAAATGAATTGAGGAAAAATGAAGTTTTTATATCTCACATACCTTTTTAATTATGTTTAACATTTCCCCACAGGCATACAAAGCAGTTGTGAATGATGCCACAATATTTAAGTTGGAGCTGCCAATGAAACAGAAGGGGTGAGTAACGGCACAAAATAACCTTCTTTTAACTAATAGCCACATTTACATGCAACTTAGAAGCTGAAGTCATAGTCCAGAGGTGCCCAAACTCGGTCCTGGAGGGCCGATGTCCTGCAGAGTTTAGCTCCAACCTGCCTCAACACACCTGCCTGGAGGTTTCTAGTATGCCTAGTAAGAGCTTGATTAGCTGGTTCAGGTGTGTCTAATTGGGGTTGGATCGAAACTCTGCAGGACACCGGCCCTCCAGGACCGAGTTTGGGCACCCCGTCATAGTCTATAGTGGAGAGGTTTACTTTACAAAAATCTATGACATTACAAAATAGGTTAGAAAATATTTCTGTTATAAAATTTCTGCTATTCAATGCCAAAGAAATATAACAAAGTATTTTGTTATAAATGTATATTAAATTTTTTTTTAAGAATGGACAAAAATAAAAAACTTTAGATTTACAATATAAACTGTGGAAACACGTCTTCACAGTTAAAAAGGGCCCATTTGTAATTGAGCGGTGTTATTTTAGCATCATTTAGATACTATTATAATTTTTATTAGTATTTTGAATTAGTTTTTTATATTTTGTGTTTTCATTCATTTTAGTTAAAGTTTTTGTGTGTGTGTGTGTGTGTGTGTGTGTGTGTTTGTGTTTGTCTTTGTTTTTTTTTTTGTCATTTTTTGTTTGTATGATTTGCCATGTCTATAATGGTTTTCATTATTCGTTTCATTTTTATTTCAATTCTTTTTATTTTTTAAATTAATTTAATTTTTTTTTAATTATTTTAGTACATCACAATAAACTAAATGAAAATGAGAAAAGTTACTGTGGCAACTAGCTGAAATAAAATAAGTTTAAGTTTTTTTTATATTTTATTTCAGTTAAAAGTTTATTTTATTTCAAGTCACAAAAATTATTTTATGGTTTTAGTATTAAATATAATAAACCTGCAAGTGAGCTTAAGTGATCCATGTTTCAGTATTGTATCAACTTGTATCAGTCGTGTTTGATGTTTCTAAATGCAGAGTGGGCCTAAAAACACAACCAGAGTCAAAGTGTCCGGAGCTGCTCGCAAACTATTGTGACATGCTGCTAAGAAAAACGCCACTCAGCAAAAAGCTGACCTCAGAGGAGATCGAGCTCAAACTGAAGGAAGTGGTGAGGGGCTGTTGGAAAAGTCACATGTTGTTTACTCAATGATTTTGTTGTTGTCCTTAAAAGTGTTTTGAAATGTAAATACTATTTTTTCCTGTAGCTACTTGTGCTAAAATACGTCCAGAATAAGGATGTGTTCATGAGGTACCACAAAGCCCATCTGACCAGACGTCTGATCCTGGACATCTCAGCAGACAGTGAGATCGAGGAGAACATGGTTGAGTGGCTCAGGGTAAGAATAAAGACAAATAAGAGTGAATGAAATTTGTATTTGAGTGTTTTATACTCTATCGGCTCACTGTTTAGCATGTTTCAGGAAGTTGGGATGCCTGCTGACTATGTGAACAAGCTAGCTAGAATGTTCCAGGACATCAAAGTGTCCGAAGATCTTAACCAGGTTTTCAAGGAAATGCATAAGCACAACAAGCTGGCTTTACCAGGTGACACACAAGCCCATTTTTCTCTCTATATATGCATTTACACTACCTTTTAACTGAGTTTGAAAGAAATTCATATTATTATTCAGCAAGGATGCATTAAATATATCAAAAGTGGTCTCCCCTTCTGTTACCCAGCGGACTCTGTGAACATAAAGATCTTGAATGCTGGAGCGTGGTCACGCAGCTCAGAGAAAGTGTTTGTGTCTCTGCCCACCGAGCTGGAAGACCTCATTCCAGAGGTGGAGGACTTCTACAAGAAGAACCACAGCGGCCGCAAACTCCACTGGCACCACCTCATGTCCAATGGCATTGTGGGTTTATTTTATGCACTAAGTTTAGTGCTTAGTAGTGATTTGTAGTAACTGTAAATTGCAACTTGTAGCTAATCAGTCTGTGTGCTCTCTTGATAGATCACTTTTAAGAATGAAGTAGGGCAGTACGACCTGGAGGTCACGACCTTTCAGCTGGCTGTACTTTTTGCCTGGAACCAAAGAACACGAGAGAAGATCAGCTTTGAGAATCTGAAACTTGCCACTGAGCTGCCTGATGCTGAACTGAGACGAACTCTCTGGGTAAGAACATGACTGTCAAACATGAAGGCCCATATGTCGCATTTTATTCCATTAGATGTTTACCATATTTCTGCTGTACTTATGATGAAGCTGCTTGTTTTTAAACTTTAAACTGGAAGCATTGATATATTAAACTAATTCAGCACAGTTCATTTTGTGATTCCAGAAGTTCCAAGAACTGTGCGTTCTTAGTAAAAACAATAGTTATCTTGATTTTTTTGCATTTTATTTAGATTCGATTTTTTATATTTATAGCACTTACAATAATTTATTCATTTAAATACTTTAAATCATCATGCGACCCCCTAGAAAGTTATGGTTGATAACTGATAAATGATCAATATAAAAATGTGTGTACTGTTTAGTGTGAATAGATAAAAATATAAAACACTAAGAACTCAAATTAATCACAATGCTACACGTGAATTTAGATATCACAACATTATAATGTATGTTGTATGAAAAATGGATATTCTTTTTTTTTTTTTTTACATTTTACAGTGTTATCAAATGATTAGTGTTTGCAAAGATCAGTTAGAAATATCTAAAATGGTCTGATTATGGTCAATTAAAATATCTTTGTTTATAGATGTACCATCATCTACTTAACTTTTTCCCTCTCTTTTTTTACAGTCTCTCGTTGCCTTCCCAAAGCTCAAACGCCAAGTGCTGTTATATGAACCTCAAGTGAGCTCTCCCAAAGACTTCACAGACAGTACATTGTTTTTCGTTAACCAGGAATTCTCCTTGATGTAAGAACATGTCCTGTCCTGCTGGCTCTTTAGAAATGGTCTCTTTAATTGGAAATAATAATAATAATATTTTTGCTTCTCCTTAGAAAAAACGCCAAGGTTCAAAAGAGGGGGAAAATAAACCTAATTGGCCGATTGCAGCTGACGACGGAGCGAATGAGAGAAGAGGAGAACGAAGGCATCGTCCAGCTTAGAATATTAAGAACACAGGTACAAAACATCAAAAAGCATTACCATTAGTCCTCTTTGTTCATGAACACTAGTCACTAAAGCCCAAAGTATACTTCAGTTTAATGTGTAGCCTTTCAAAGTTTACTCCATTGATAGTATGTGTGCAAACAGAAGTACTCGACATGCTAGAAAGTTTCCTTGTCCATCGTCTGTGCTAATTCTCTACAGAAGTTATGCCGATAAAAATGTCTTTGTGCTGGTTTAAACTAGAGTTGCGTGTAACTCCATCACACAAGCATCTGTTCCAGTCATTGGTTGTTATTGTTCCATCTCCTTCATTTTTTTTCAACTATGAAACAATGGTCCGGGCCAGTGTTGCCACCTTGTGGACAAACTAATTAGTGCAAAAAATTGTGTCGTGGTACTCCCGTGCAGCGAAAACTGACACAGAAGAGAAGAATTGTTAAATAAAGTCGCTATTTTTGTTTCTTTGCACACAAGAAGTATTCTCGTAGCTTCGTAAAATTACGGTTGAACCACTGATGACTATTTTAACTATGTCCTTATTACCTTTCTGGGTGTAAAAAGTACTGTAATAAGTAATTTTACAATAAAATACTGTTTGTTTTTTACAGTGGACTTAATGTGTTTGTTTCTTTGACTGCAACATTTCAGGAGGCCATCATTCAGATTATGAAGATGCGTAAGAAGATCACAAACGCTCAGCTGCAGACCGAGCTGGTGGAGATCCTGAAGAACATGTTCCTCCCTCAGAAGAAAATGATCAAGGAACAGATCGAGTGGCTCATTGAGCACAAGTACATCAAGAGAGACGAGACGGACCTTAACAACTTCATTTACATGGCGTAACGCGGAAACGACTCCGGAGATGTTCTGGAGGACGGCGTACCTGTCGAGGATCAGCAGCGGGGGAGGGATGGTGATGTCTCGAAGATACTGCTTAGACTGCTGGTCTCTCCGGGCGTAGTCAATGAGTTTGTTTTAACGACAGACAGTCACACATCAGATAAAAAAATGTATTTAAAAAAATAAATCCCTGCCGTACCTTAAAGTGAAGACACATGGGATGAGGATTGGAGATAAAAAAAAATAGGAAAAAAGACAAAAAGGATTCTATTTTTGCCATTGGTAGTCAGTATGCATGGTGGGCGGTTTGCCTTTTGTATGTGTACATCTCCAGCAGCATGCGGCCAGTGGGAATGTCACATTCATCCCAGGACTTGTTTGTGTGTGCCGTGTCACGAGTGTTTTTTTCCCCTCCCACATCCTCCGTCTGGACCTCGCCGCGTCCCATCCTCAGCGCGCAACCCAGGGCGAGAACCGTCCCACCATCACAAACACCTGGCCTGGCATGACGACACCGGAGTCACTGAGGAGCGCGGGCCGGGATGAAGGACTAGCATTAGCACTTTTCACACTCTCCGCCACAATATGTCAGCATGGCCTTATTTGGGTTGTTTTTCACGACTTCAGGTTTTGTTTTGACTTGTTTTCTTCGTCAAAATATCGCAAATGAAAGATTTGATTGGCTGATAGCAGTTTAGGCAACACATTACTCTTTAAAATGCTAGGAAAAGAGATCCTGGCATTCAGATGTCACAAAGGGTCAAGGTCTGTGGAGAAAATCTATCAGTTTGCGATGTTGTTTTTTTTCCGGTGTACATGCATTACGTTACACACCAAGTCAGAAGGTCAGTGTAGTTGCAGTTTCTTTTTTGTGCTTACTACACTTTTCCGTGCTTACTACACTTTTCCGTTATCGGTCTCAAATAGCGACAGATGCCAACTGATTAGCTTGTGGTGAGGTGGCCCCACTAAGGTCCTGTAACATGTAGCCTACTCATCAAACCTGTTGAATTTTAGCCGCAAAACGATTTATTGTCATCGCCCCGTCACAGATGAGCGTAAACAAGCGGTAAAGCACAGTTACAGGAGTCCGAGTAAAGCAAGCACTGCTTCAACCTCAGGTAAAGTAGGGCAGAGTTATTTTAAAAGTAGGTTGTGCTAACTTTAATTAGCGCCTCGTGGTTCTTGTTAATCACACATTGCCAAAGCGAAGCACAAGAGTGCTGATCTCAAAATCAAATAATGTAGGATCTATTGCAATTATTGTTTCCCTCTATTTCCGAGGTCACCCTCATAGCCACATTTAGTGGAAAACAGGAAGTCTGGGCTTTTTGTTTTGACTCATTATTGTCCCATTATGACCGAGTATCTATGAACAAAAGCTTGTGCAATTACTGATTATGTGTTTATTATAATCAAATGAACTGTTAACATTTAAATACGTGCAAACAAGTATTAACTCTTTTATTTTTCAAGCAGATTTCCTATAGTGATAGTGTCTAGTCAGTCTAAAATTTAGTTTTTCAGTGTGTTTGGAGTGAAGGTGTGTTCTCAATAAAAAATAACAACAAAAATATCATATTTACTGGCTGATGACGTCTAGATTTGATTGTACGTTCATATCCAAACCCAGAACACTGAATCTAATGAGGGGAACATGATGATGTCCCAATGAAATCCTCACTGATATTTCTGTAACATTGCTGCAGTTCAACTGTCCATCTCCACTATGACATTTTCTGTCAATTCTGTTTGTTTTTGTCTGTTTTTAATGCAACACAGTCATTCATTTGTATCCCCAGTGTTTGATTTCACATGGTAACTGAAATAGTGAAAAGGTTCCTTTCGATTGTACTGAAAAGCCATTCTTTATAAGATCCAGATGTACAACAGTGTTTGAGGACATTGTGTTATTTGATTGTCCACTTTATTTATTGATAACTTAAGCCTGTTTGAGAGGTTGAGTGTGTGTGTGTGTGTGTGTGTGTGTGTGTGTGTGTGTGTGTGTGTGTGCGTGCGTGTGCGCATGCGTTTACGCTTAGGAGCCTTTTACAACAGGGTGCTGTCATATCCTGTTACGTTTATGCATTTTCATTTTTGGAATTTAAAATCGATGTTTCTGCTGACTATGTTTTCCTCTATCAATTTCTCTAGGTAACTACATATAATTTTAATAGGACAAGCACTATGATTTTCATATTTATCAATCACTGTTGGAGTTTGTTGTGTGCTTGTGTTATTCTAAAGCCAATTTGAATGACATCAAATTAAATGCAGTCCCAAAAGCTGAAATTTCAGTTCATTGTAGTGGAAGATGATGAAACTGAATAAAAATGGTGTGAATGACCTTTCGAGGGAATGCTACATGAAATTATGAATTATACTTTATTGTTTGTGAATTTATGCATTTTCTCTGATGCACATGGTATGTTCCAGTAATAAAGTCTGTGTGCACTTCATTCAGTGGTATAATGCAATAAGTGAGCGTGAAACAAGACATTTTGAAATCTGTTGATGGAATTTTCTCTAATAAAGTTGCATACACATATAAACACTCACTATTAAGTTGATTATATTGCACTGAAATAGTTCCATGTGTGAGATGGGGGTGATCATTTGATTTCTTGAGTGGCACAACAGTATTTTTATCATTCTAATACTGTACTAATAATGTGCACTTACTGTCATTTTTGTCACTCCACTATATCGCATACCAGGAGGAGTGGTGTTTGTGTTCTATTTATCGCTCTTTTTGTCTTGTAGAGTGTCTTCCGTCATTGTCGCAGTTGAAGCATTTTGTTCATTACAAATTGTCTAAACACTGACTAAAATGTAAGGGTTTGGGTTTATTCTCAAAAGAATATGTCACTTTATACTTACATACACAGATATGTTCTGGTGATGGTTTCATAGTGAACTGGACAGTTAGTATTCATTTGAATGACACATAAGGACAGTTCTGCAATTATTCCCCACATACACTTTCTGGTAAATGGTTCAGTAGAAAACTGAACACACAAGTTCCCTGTAGTGTGTGACACTGCTGTTACAACAAGTCAAATGTAAGTTTCTGAGAAGGTGCATATGCTCTGACTATGACTGTTTTCAAGATTTCTTGCCTGGAGCTTTAAAAGCTTCAAGAATATTTGAAAATGAATAAGTATGAGGTGAATGTCTGCCATTGAACAGTGAAGATCTGGAACGGATGCTATTCTTGCAGTGTGAGTCTAAAGCACTTTCATATACTGGATTTTTCTCTTTTTTGCATAATTTATTTACTGGCGAAATAAAAAACGATTTGAATGATGCTGATGTGCGTTTTTAATGATCTCCTGTTTGCACAACAAACACACTGAACAAATAATAGGAAATTCCATAAACCTGTGCAATAAAATGAAGGGTTTATTTAACAATCTGAATTATACGTTTTAGTTGCTTAGTGAGTCTGATTAGGTCATAAACAAATAAATAAATATTTGATGTATTAAAAACATAAAATAAGAAGAAATGGTATGTTTAGAAACAACAACAAGACTGAAATGAGTTGACTGTTTTAAACTGAAGTGAATGATATTTGAATCTTAACCGACATATTTAATGTTTGGCAGGAAGATATATTAAGATAAAGTATTATGTGTAAAACATCTGTTAATGCTAAAATGCTATAATTTTATCCGTTCTTACATTAGAAAATAGCAATATACAATAAAAAAAAGCAAGCATGTCTGATTTGGATATAAGTCACAGCAAATAATGATTAACAAAGCAAGGGAAGTATGTAAATCTCCGCTCTACGTTTGGACCAATAGCAAGTAATTAATTTGCATGTGGTGCCGTGCTGGCTTTGATTTAGAAGTTCTGCAAATTTCGTGTTTCCTTAAACGTCATACTTTGGCGAGCAACAATATATCATAAAGTATTCATGATATGCTGTTTAAAAACAGGTTCATAAATAACACTCACCATAGATGTAACACATAGCGCACGAGAGACCTATATATTGAGGCAATCTCACCTCTAATAATTACCCGGATGAGCCTCGGTGGTCCAGGGTGCAGGCTTCAAACCTGTAGCTGCTGAGCGGCAGAGTGGTTCAATTCCACCTTTCGGGCGCATGAGAAATAGGCTGATGAGGAGATATGCGATACAAGTAACCTTTTAACAAATTAGTGTTGAAATCTGAACTATTTTAGACCCCCACGAGAACATTACTACTGTTAAACCCCCGGAAGCTCGGCCGTGCAAACAACCAATCAGCGCAGTAAACACTGGTGTCTGTCACAGGAAATGACGTGTGGTGCCCTTGGTTAGCTTTACAGCGTGTGCTGACTGAGAGGCTAGCAGGCTAACACTGATCATGTAAAATTTAATTAAACATCCTCTGTTCGCGTCATTCCCCGGTAAGAAGTCTGATCTGTATACAAGCCTTTTTCTTATCGTTATTAGCTTTGCATTTTTAGATTTTTAGATTATAAAGCGTATATTTGACTTTTTGGCTGTAGCTTATCAGCTAGTTTACAGTTTTACTCTACTACATGTGTGTGTATATAGTGTATGTATGTTATATTATTTGTATATATTAACGTACTATTCTATATTACTATTAACCTCTTACCCTGCACCCTATTTTATATTACTATGTATTATTAGTATTATTATTAAAGTATTATTACTACAATTATTATATGTTTGTGTACTCTATACCCTTCTTTCTAAGGTTTTGTCCAATAAAATGCCTCTACACAAGTATCCACCAAAAATCTGGGAAGCCCTGAAGCTGCAGAAGGGCATCTACGCCCGTTTACCCCAGCACTACCTGCACTCTCTGCAGAACAACGCCCCTCCTTCACCTGTGCACTGGAGACCTCTGGGTGTCAAATACAGACTCAGTCCTAAATCTGGACACAGAGAGCGAGTGCAGGATGTGCCTATCCCCGTCTATCATCCGCCAGAATCACAGAGCGGACTCTGGGGTGGAGAAGGCTGGATATCTGGCTTTAGATATGCTAAAGATGACAAGGTAAGACCGAAGAGAGAACTACAGTAATACTGAATATTGCTGATTTGGGTTCTTTTATGTGAATGCTAGTGGATAAATGAGAATGTTTCTTGAAGACGACTTATCCTATAGTATGTAATATGTACTTGTCACACCAGCTTTCTACAAGACTGCGCAAAACCTGGAAGCCGCAGCTGTTTAACAGAGAGCTGTACAGTGAGATCCTCGACCAAAACTTCACTGTAACGCTCACAGCTCGCACACTGGACCTTATTGATGCTGCTTTTGGCTTCGACTTCTACATTCTTACGGTGAGAAGTCCTCAAAAGTCTGTTTATTTTTATTTTTTTATAATTTTACAAAAATCCTAAGACATTTATATAATAATGTATATTATATATATATAATGTCATTTATATAGTAATATTTATTGTATGAAATGTTTTGTATTATTATATTTAAAAAATGGCATTTAATGCTTTATCATTTTACAAAAATGTTTAGAATTTTACATAATTTACATTTATATAGTAATATTTATTGTATAAAATGTTTTATCTATTATTGTATATTTATTCTTATCTTAATAAATTATGAAGTCCTCAAAATCTGTAGCGTTTAGTATGTTTTAGCATTTTACAACAATTAAAATAATTTTATATAATAATGTTTATACAGTAATATAATATAAAAAATATTGTATAAAATGTGCTATTGTATATTTATTATTATATTTTTTAAAAATTGAGTCTTCAGAAGTCAATGGCATTTAGTGTGTTTTTTTATTTTATGTAGATTACAATAATTTTACATAATAATAATATGTGTTTATGGATTAGATTGATTCATTTATTATTGGATATAATTAAAATATATATATAAGTACATGACATGTCTGTGGCATTTAGTATGTTTTATTTACAAAATTATGTTAGTTTTATGTAATTGTTTTATATATATATATATATATATTAATATATATTGTATAAAATTATTTTAGTTATTGCAAGTTCTCACATATATGTGGCATTTAATATGTTTTATTATTTTGGATTGATTTAAATAGTTTCATATAATAATGTTTATTTAGAAATATATATATATATATTATATAAAATTGTATATCTTATTGTATATTTATTGTTATACTACATTATTGTGTAAAATGTCTTTTTCTAAACTAAGAATATATGTAAATTGTTTGTGAAACCATTCTTGTGTAAAGGGTAATTCGGTTCAGTGTACTGTAACAATTTACATAAGAATCCATTTTTTTAATCATTTATACTAGAAAATCTTACAGCAAAATGTGGTCGATATCTTGTATTTCTTTTAAATCAGACACCGAAGCAAGATTTGAACTCCAAGTTTGGAATGGATCTAAAACGTGCAATGCTTTTACGTCTGGCACGGAAAGACACAGAACTGTACCCTCATGATCCGTCTCGCAGGGAGAAAATCTACAACCGCTACAAGGTGAGATGAGTTGATTATCTTTATGTATATTTGCAGCCATATGGTATTGATAATCATCCTGTGTGTTTTCTTCACTTGCCTTCCACTCATTTCTTACAAGCAGCAGTTTGAGATCCCAGAGGAGGAGGCTGAATGGGTGGGCTTGAGTCTAGAGGAAGCAGTAGAGAAACAGAGGCTACTGGAAAAGAAGGTCATGAAATAAACCGTAGTATAAAGGACAGTCATTGCATGTCAAGTCGCTATCATCAGATAAATATTATTATTTTTCTTTCTCAGGATCCAGAGCCTCTTCACAAGAGTTTGATGAAGAAGCTTGTGGAGGAGCTCGCCATTAAGAAGCTCTCAGAGCCTCAGATTGTGGAGAAAAAATGATGACTGTTCTCTTCTTTGCCATCCTCCATGTCTGTCATGCAGTCTGAAGAATAAACGATATTGTATTTATTTCGTATTAAAGGGGTGCTATTATGCTTTTTCACTTTTTCAACTTTAGTACTAACAACTTAGTATGAGAGCCTGTTCTAGTACACCCCCCAAAACAAAATCAAGACTTTGTAAAAGAGCATAATAGGACCCCTTTATTAACATAACCAACAGCTTGCTGATATTCTGTAAATATATCATTTTTACTTAATAAATTGAGTCAGAGATGTATTTGCCAATCTGACGGGAATACCTTATTTTCAGGCTGTGTTTGGAAACTGTAATGTTCTACTAATAATGGTTCTCATTGGTTATCTTTTTGGAAACCAAATCCTAACATTCTAGTAATGTTCTTTTAAGGCTCTTTTTTGATTCTTTAGGTATACATAATTTATCTAATGTTTATTTATAGGTTTATTTATATATAACCATCAGAACTTTCGCAGAAGGTTCTGGGAACCAAACATTGTTTGCTGGATGCAGCAAAGAATAAAGAATTTACAAGTTGACATGCTTGCATTTCAAATCACGTTTTGTTTAATAAATCGTATAGAGTGTATTGCACAGCTAGTTCCGGTCACCGAATTTGTTCGTACCAATCTGCTTGTCTGTGTTTGCACATTCATGGAAGTCTGTTGATTATTGGTGAGCATTTTTCAGTGACACTTTATCCAAGCTACATATTCACGCCAGTAGGCAACAAGTGACTGTTTTTCTGAATGATTAATTGAAACATTTACTCAAACGATTTCGTTCAAAGACATGAACCGAAACGTCTCTGTGTGTTGCTCAAAGACTCAACAGTTGATTCTAACTTACTTCGACTGCTGTTAGTAAAAGAACAAAACAGACACAAGTGGCAATATTGGCTCTAAAATGCAAGTTACTCATTAACGTAAAGTTTTTAAAAACTGTTGTATAAAAGTATTATCACCTTTTCATCAGAAAAAAAAACACATTGCTTGTTTGGTAAGCAGTAGCTACGATAGTATTACCCTCTGAAAACAGCACTTGATATTTCTGTCAAAAATAATTTCAATCATAAATTTACATTACAAATTATTTATAGCAATTAGTTATTTTAGGAGTATAAATGTATGTTGTCTTAAAACCTTCCTTTTGGCGCCATGTGGGTTACACTCCCATTGCCCAATACTGGACTTTATAGGCTTCACGACATAAGTTTCCGTAGAGCTTGTCAATGTTAAACCTGGTTAGTCAGAAGTTGCAACACAGAGAGAGAGAGAGAGAGAGAGAGAGAGCGGTCGAGCTCAAATTCTGTTGTTCACATTAATAGTTGTTAAAGGTCATCTTGAGTCATGTGGCCCGAGGTGTGAAATCACTTCTCACAAGAGTCACAACACACAAGCACACACAAACATCTTTTGTTTTAAAGTCACCGTTAGGTCATAATGAAATCTTGAATAAAACTGACTGTGGGAGTCGATTTTGTCAGAGATTGTGACATGTTGAATATGTGTAGTAGCTATTGCTCTGAACTCTATATATAGTATCAGAGAAGTGCAACAAAGCACAACAATAGCTGTAGTGAATGAGGAAGTGACTAGACTTCTTTTTTTCCTGATTCCCTCGTAGCTTTTAAGTATAAGAACGTGTATGGCATGAAATCAAGGGTTTGGAAGGTTTGAATTCCTTTCAGACTGATGGAAATTTATTTCTGGCTTAAACTCATGTCGATTGAGGCATTTACATTAAGGCTTTTCAATCCGATTACTAACTGATTATTTGGATGCAAATATAAATGTAAGGCAAGGCAAGTTTATTTATATAGCACATTTCATACACAATGGTAATTCAAAGTGCTTTACATAAAAGGAAGTAAAATAATCATAAAAAATAATCACAATAAAACAAGGAATTTAAAAACTTTTAAAACGATTGATTTAAAATGAATTTAAAACAGTTAAAAATAGAAAATGATTATACACAAAATACAGTGCAATCAGTTCGGACATTGCACAGTGCTCATTCAGTAAATGCACAGCTAAACAGATGAGTTTTGAGTCTGGATTTAAATGTAGCTAATGTTTTAGCACATCTGATCTCTTCTGGAAGCTGATTCCAACTGAGGGCGGCGTTTTCAGGGAGTTTGGAAAAGTCCCAGAAAGAAGTGAGGCGTTCTGAACAGTTAGAAGCAGATCTCTTATGTAGCTAATGTTAATGCGATGAGGTGGATTTGGTTGGACTTTGGCCTTACTACTCTCGAGATTTTCAGGGAGTTTGGAAAAGGCCCAGAAAGAAGTGAGGCGTTCTGAACAGTTAGAAGCAGATCTCTTATGTAGCTAATGTTAATGCGATGAGGTGGATTTGGTTGGACTTTGGCCTTACTACTCTCGAGACAGTAAGAAATTATGATTTAGCCGGTGACTAATAAAGCAAGTACACTAAGGGACAGCAAAACTGAGTCATTTGCCAGAACACAGGTTTTTAATATCGACAGCAACAACACACTATAAGAAGCAGAATGTGACAGTTGATAGCAACTAAAGGATTTTTACACAGGACAATAAAAATCACAGCAGTATTACAGACATTAAATGTGTATAAATGAACAAAATGCTTTCCAATGGTTATGCTTGTGAATCCAGCTTCCTTCAACATTGATGTGACAAAGACAAAATCACTAAAATCTTTTTGCCACTGACTCATTGACTATATTCATTTCAGTTTCCTATGCAAACTCACATCATGACATAACCAGGCATGACATGTCAAGTTTCCAGGGATAAGTAATCTGACTATTCTCATTGAAAAATAAAAGCCTGTGCAATGCAGCCAATCAGAACATAAGTTGTGTATTATACATCAAATAAGACCAATTTTAGAATCTTAGACCAATTAAATGTCTTTGTGGACGGGGCTTCAAATCCAAATCCCCTCTGACACATTAAAATTTGGTAATTAATGTATATAAATTACATAAAGCACATTACAAAATCCAAAAAAGGTCAAATGAAACATTTCCCTTTCTTTGTGCTTTCATTAAGACTTTGGTTAGCAAGCTAAGAAGCCATTCACACAGAAGATTTCTTTGTGTTTAAAAACATGAGACACAGGTCTAGAGAAGTTCAGAAGCTGAACTTTTTTACTTGAGCGCCATGCTTTTAGAACATTTTGTCATGCACAATATGCATAAGTGCAACGGTCAAACATCCGTCTTGTGCATGTTTACATAGAAAAACAATGGAAAAGCGGCGCAGTAAAGTGGAAAAACATGATCTGTGTGAACAGCCCCTAATAGCATAGCACTAACTAGTTAACCGACTATCACAATTTTTGAGCATTATTTTTGATCAGGAGTTGCAAACGGCCACCAATGGGCAGAGGATTCAATGCAAGATTTTATTGTTGCCAATTAGATGACAGAAATGACTTTTACTATGTTGTCGTGTCACACCTGGTTTGATCATGGTGTCAGATTGGTATGAATTACATTAATTAATCCAGCTGCTACTTCAGAATTATGTTTAAAGGTCTAATTTTGTCCCCTTAATGCTGTTAACTGAAATTCATCTGTGGATGGACTGTTCCGAAATGTTCAAAACAAATATCACGTTACATGTAACACTTAAATACAAAGTGAATTTGGGTCTGGGACAATCTACAGGATACTAATAGGTTCTGCTCAGAAATCCACACAATAAATTAGCGAATGACAGACATAACTGGCACATCACAAGCAACTGAGCAGCATCTGTTGCTCCCTTTTTACCAGAAAACGTAATGGCTACATGCTTCTCCCGCGTTTCGTTGGCTACCATGGTGTCTAGTCCATTTACAAGACCAGTGGCTGAGCAGGTGATTTACTTCATTAGTATATTCATACTACCAAACAGGAAGTCAGATAGTGCCAGCTGAACACGTTTGGCAGTCAATAACAAGTTTGACTTAGTCTGTGTCTTTTCCTAGTCCAAAAACAATTTTATAGTCAAGAGTGTATGTCCAAAATCCCAATAGTCAAGACATAAGAGTCCACAGTGGCATTCAGTGGTCTAGGTCGTTCTCGCTCTTCACGGGGCAAAACATGAGACCTTCGATGTTCTCCAGATCTGCTGGATAGGCCTGATTCTCATTCACCATCTGACTGAAGTGTGCGTCGTTTATAGATGACATGTTCATCATAGGTTGACTGACGTTCAATTTCGTATCTGTGCCATCTAAACCGAAGTTGAGATCGCCATGAAAAAATAACTGATTAAGAAACTGGTCTGAACCTTGCTGGGATTGGTCTGGTCTGAAGCTGGCAAGGCATTGGGAAATGCCTTGGAGGACGGTGTCCAAAGTTTCTGGGTCCAGGCTAACACAACCGTCCTCTTGTTTAAAGTCTTCATTATAGTGAATTTCCTCCATGACCTGGGATGGCATATGGACGCCTCTGTCCATAACAGGGACTGCCATGGAAGCATTGGGAACGTTACAGTCGGGAGGGGCGTAGAATGGGTCAAAATGCTGTGGCATGCTGAGTTCATTCGCAATGTCTTGATCTGCGAGAGGAGGGAAATAATACCCTGATGTAGTCAACAAAGTTTGAGAGAGTGATATTAAGGTTTCTGTTTATTTTAGAAACATGCTTACTTTGAGGAACGCTGCATGGCTCGCTGAACTTCACATCAGACTTCATTTTCCTCTTGCGGTTGACTCCGTAAGGATCTGCAGATCAAAAGAGCAAATCAGATTAACCTTCCTTCCGTGTCACAGGGTGACAGGAGCATGTAATGGCGCTGACTAAAATGGCACTGACTATAACAGAATCATTTGTGTTCTGACAACAGAAGACCTATTATGAAGTATTGCAGTTTCCTTTCAGTTTAAACTACTATAATGCTGCTATTTATAATGAAAAACTGACACGGTGACACACCCTCTTTTTGCAATATTTTAGAAACTAGTAAGTGAAGAGGTGACTCATTTCTGGGATACCTGGGCGTCTTTGCTTCAGTTAACCGTTCTTTTGGTCTACAATTACTTTTAAACACAAGAAACCTAAAAAAACAATAACTGACATTTTTAGGACCATTACACCTTTTACTCAAGTAAAA